TTTTCTTTTCCTTAGAAATGTTTTCAAATTTTCTCCCTAAAGGAAATTCCTTATTTTGTTTGCCTTTTCTTGCTAGGGATTGTAACATGAAGAGTGTCACATGTGCTTCAGATTTAGTTGTGCTGTCAGTCAGTTTTGTTTTAATATTTTTCTTAATTATTCTTAGTGGGAATTTATCAGGCAAAGAAAGTAGTATAAAATACAAGAAGAAATCAATAAAACTAAAGGAAAATGAGGAGGGGGAAAAAAAAAGGAGATTCTTAGAGTATTTGTAAAGTAGAGCTTAAGCAATCAACAAAACCGCTTGGTACTGACTAAGAAATGGAGTAGTGGATCAGTGGGATAGGTTTGCAAGACAGAGTAGTCAGTGACTCTAGCAATCTATTTGATAAACCCGGAGACCCCAGCTTCTGGGATAAGAACTCAGTATTTGACAAAAACTGCTGGGAAAACTGGAAAAGACTATGGCAGAAACTAGGCAAAGACCCAAATCTCACACCATATACAAAAATAAAGTCAAAATGAGTTTGTTATTTAGATGTAAAGGCTTACATTATAAGCAAACTGGGAGAGCAAGGAATAGTTTACCTGTCAGATTTATGGAGGACAGAAGAATTTATGACCAAACAGGAGATAGAGAATATTATGAAATGCAAAATGGATAATTTTGATTACATTAAATTGAAAAGTTTTTACACAAACAAAGCCAATGCAGCCAAGATTAGGAGGGAAGCAGAAAACTGGGAAAGGATTTTTACAACCAGTGTCTCTGATAAGGGCCTCGTTTCTAAAATGTTTAGAGAACTAAGTCAAATTTATAAGAATTTACAAGTCATTCCCCAGTTGATAAATGGCCAAAGGATATGAACAGGCAGTTCTCAGATGGAGAAATTAAAGCCATCATGAAAAAATGCTCTAAATCACTGTTGATTAGAGAAATGCAAATCAAAAGAACTCTGAGGTACCACATCACACCTATCAGATTGGCCAACCTGACAAAACAGGAAAATGATAAATGTTGGAGAAGATGTGGGAAAATTGGAACATTAATGCATTGCTGGTGAAGTTGTGAACTGATCCAGTCATTTTGGAGAGCAATTTGGAACTATCCCCAAAGGGCTATAAAAATGTGCATACCTTTTGACCCAGCAATGGCACTTGTAGGGCTGTATCCGTATCCCAAAGAGATCATAAAAATGGGAAAGGGACCCACATGTACAAAAGTATTTATAGCGGCTTTTTTTTTTGTGGTGGCAAAGAATTGGAAATTGAGAGGATGCCCATCAATTGAGGAATGGTTGAGCAAGTTGTGGCATATGAATGTAATGGAATACTATTGTGTTATAAGAAATGATGAGCAGGCAGACTTCAGAAAAACCTGGAAAGACTTGTATAGACTGACGCTCAGTGAAATGAGCAGAACCAGGGGAACATTGTACACAGTAACAGCCACGTTGTGTGATGACTAACTTTGATAGACTTAGCTCTTCTCAGCAATGCAAGGATCTAAGACATCTCCAAAGTCTCATGATGGAAAATGCTATCCACATCCAGAGAAAGAACTATGGAGTTCGAATGCAGATCGAAGCACACCTTTTGATCTTTTTTTTTCCTTCTGTTTTGTTTTGTTTCCTTTCTTGTGGTTCCTCTTATTGGTTCTAATTCTTCCTTACAACATGACTAATGTGAAAATATGTTTAATAGAAATATGTATGTATAGCCTTTATCAGATTTCACGCTGTCTTGGGGAGGAAGGGGGAGAAAAATTTAAAACTCAAAAGCTTATGAAAGTGATTATTGATAACTCAAAATAAATTAATAAAAAAATACAGTAGAGCTTAACTGGAATGCCTATTAGATACATCACACTGTATATCCTAGAGAGATTTCTCAAACGTAATACATCCAAAACTGAATTCATTAGCTTTTGCACCAGACTTATCCCTTTTCCACCTTGATCCCTCCATCTCTTACCCCATACATCCAGTCAGTTGTCACATATTGTCATTTCTACTTTCAAGATACTTCTTGCATGTAACTCCTCTCCATTCACCTTAGTTCAGACCCTCATTGACTCCTGCCTAGGTTTATTACACAGTCCTTCTACTTTGTATCCCTTCGTCCAGTCTTTTCTCACTCCAGCCATCCTCCACATTGCTGCCAAAGGAATTTTCTTTTATCAGAACTTTTTCCTAGTCTCTCCTCCATGCAATAAATTTCAGTAGTTTCCTGTTGTTCCTAAAACCAAATATAAACTCCTGCTTAACATTGGAAGCCCTTCCAAACCTGGCTTCAGCCTCTTTTTTCAGGCTTATTGGACATTGCTCCCTCCCTTACATTCTCTGACCAAGCCCCACTGGCCTTTCCTTGGTTCCTCTTCCGTGACCTTGCATCCTCTGTCTCTGTGCCTTTGCATTCACTGTCCAACATGCTTGGAAATTTATTGTATCCTCACATCCAACTCATAGAATCTCATGTTTCCTTCAAGATGCAGCTCAAGCATTTCCTGAGCCCCTAAAATGCCCTCTCTCCCAAACTACCTTGTGTTTAACCACTTTGTATTTATTTGTATTTTTTATTTGTTCTTCATACACTTCTTCCTTTGCTATCTTTCCAAGTGGAATATAAGCTGCTTGTTGATAAGAATTTTTTCATTAATTTTATTATTGTTAAGAATAATACAGTACTACTATCCTTAAGGGTAATATAGCACTAGTAGGTACCCAGTGCTTGGCACACAGTAGGTACTTATTAAATGCTTGTTGTTTAAGTGAATTGATGGTTAGTTCCTTCAGCTAATATATTTTGAAGACAAAGTTGTAATGATTATGAAATAGTCTGAAACACTGCAGACCCTGCTGATTGAATTCCACAAGCATTCAAAAGTGTTTGTTCTAACTGTCCACATAGGAAAAATCTAGTCGATGAAGACTGCCTGGCATCCATATTATGATGAATGAACAGCTTGTTGAGCTCTTCCATCAGTATATGAATGTTAGATAGACACTACATTTAGGCCATGAGTTGTCTAGCCGGAGAGGGTAGATGGCGAGAAACAGACAGACATAGATGGATAGGTGGATGGAAAAATGAGCATTTATTAAGTGCCTGCAGTGTGCCAGCACTGTGTTAACTAAATTTTGAGGATATAAATACAACCAAATAAAACAGTCTCTCCCCTCAAGGATTTTATATTCTAATAGGGCAAGATAGCATGTAAAGAGGACCTGGAAACTCAGGGTAGAGTAGTGGAAAGTGTACTTGGATAGGGTCATAGCAGCTGGCCTGGATGTAGAAAAGTTCAGAGAAGTGACGTAGCTGAAGCTCTCATGAAATGAGTAGGATACCCACCAAGTAGGACAGTGGGACTCAGGGCAGATGTTTCTCCAAGGTGGAAAGGCAGGTAGCAAAGAGGTGAAGAAGGCCAGAGAGTTGAGTCAGCTTGAAGTATCCTGCATTGCCTTTAGAAGATGATGTGTGCTTTTAATGACTCCAGAATTCTCCATGAAACAAAGGCCCACCTTTCAAAAATCAGTAATCATCCATTAAAGCTATGTGGCTGCAGTGAATGGAAGGATCAACAAAGAATGGAAGTTGCAAGGAACCCAGCAAGCGGGGATCCATCAGCACCCACACAGTGTTATGAGACTCAGAGAGAAGCCCTTCCCTTTTGGAGAGACCCCACAAAAACTGACCAGGGCACCTGGACAGGAGTTGCTGAGGAAGCATGAGTATGAATTGGGTTAGAATTGTTGGCTCCTGTTAGAGGGGCAAAGGAGGGATCTACTTTGTTGAGATGTTAGAAGGATTGAAGTTTGCCTCTTAGAAAGAAAGTAGACTTCCTAAAGAGTTTCCTGATTTAAAGTGCCTATTTCTAAAGATTTAAAAAGACTACTGAACCTCTTTCAAAATATGAAATGTTTAAATTAATAAAATAATTCATTCAAAGGGAATCGGCACTAGAATAATTCTAACCCACTCTTTTTCTTGGAATGGAAATGAAGATCAAAAAGATTATGTAACTTGCCAAGGTCAGAAAGCTCGTAGTGGCAGAAGCCAGTAGTACCTCAGTCATCTCAGAATCAATGCTTTCAAATTGTGGTGCTGGAGAAGACTATTGAGAGTCCCTTGGACAGCAAGGAGATCCAATCAGTCAATACTTAAAGAAATCAATTCAGGCTATTCACTGGAAGGTCAAATACTGACGCTGGGGCTTTACTACTTTTGCCATATAACGAGAAGACAGGACTCATTGGGAAAGATTGAAGGCAAAAGGAAAAAAGGACAGCAGAGTTTGAGATGGATAGTGTCATGGAAACAACAAATGTGAATTTGGACAGACTTTGAGAGATAATGGGGAGTAGAAGGGCCTGGCATGTTTTGTTCCATGGAGTCATGAAGAGTTGGGCATGAGTGAATGGCTGACCAACTCCTGGCTCCAGGCTCAAGCTTTATTTCCCTCTACCCCATTCCCTGCTGTCACACTAAGTGAAGTGATTCATCAAGATTCTCATGGTGGAGGTTGGTGCTCCCTTATTGTATTAAGTTCATGGAAGTTAGCTGTAGGGACACATGATTTTTTATGTCATCACTGCTCAAAAGTCTAGTTCAATGGCCAACAAAAGATGACAATGTCAGATCTATTTAAAGGGCTTATAATTGATAGAGCCTGAAGTTCAGGCCGTGCTGATGATGAACTAGCTATCTATCCATTGTGTAGAAATTACTGTATTGCCCTTTCTGCTAATAGACATTTATCTCATTTGTGCCTGTTAGTAATTTACAGGACAATTTACTTTTGATAATACCAGTGTCCAAATTAAAAAAGCAACCATTTGTTCTCAGGAGTAATGTCCATCCCCAGGACACTCAAGCAATATAGCTAACATATGTGTGTGCGTAATCACCCACATGTATAGGTGTGTATATATGTATACATCTATATTGCTTTTGCTTTTTCTCTTTTATTTCTAAGCATTTTGCAATTTTTTCTTTTCTAGGTGAATCCAATGAAAATGGAAGAATAAATCCTACGCAGATTCCGATGGAACTTTTATTTCCTACAGGTAGGACCTGTGTCTGTCATATAGTTCTTGCATACCTTTTCCTTTCAGTAGCAGTGTTTAGCAGTGCTAAGGCTTTCTGTTTGCATTTGATAATATTTCCTGCTAATAAACTACTCAAGCTTTTATACTATTAGTCCGCTGATCTCAAGAGAATTTAAAGAAAGCACAAAAGGAATTCACGATGGTATTAAATGCTATTTGTCAACATTTCCTTTGGGGTCTTGTCAGGAAATAGGGCAGCATTACATTTTGCTCAATGGCAGAATAATACACTGGTGAATAAAACATGTACTACTTGAACTTTTGTTAGTGTTTTTCTCCCAACTTGAATTTTGGTTGAGTAAATGGTTGAGCATGGTTATGCTTGGTAGAGAATATAGGGGAGATAGTAGGATCTTTTTTCTCATAAAACTGATAAAAAGGGTTAAATGCTGGGTCTCATTTTCTCGAAAATACCATATAAATACGCAGATAAATTACTGAGGCAGTAATACCTGAAAAATGACATTTAGTTTGCAGCCCTTTATCTCCATGAGTGATTGATTCTCTTGACTTATTTTTAATGGCAGTATAAATTCACTATGAAAATATGGACTATGATCACAGATTTTATAGATTTAGCATATTTTAAGCAGTTAATCAGCAAACATTTATTAAGTACCTACAGTATACTAAGCACTATGCCAGATGAAGGGAATACAAAGAGAAATGAAAATAGTCCCTGCCCCTGAGGAATTTCCATTTGTTCTGTCAGTCAAGAGAACAAGTACAAAATTCGTATGAAATAAATACAAAGTAATTTTGAAAAAGATTTTCTGCGGTTAGGGGCGTCAGGAAAGGATTCATACACAAAGAATTGTTTGCAGAAAGTGAGGAATCTAAGATGGACAGGAGAAGGAAAAATGCCGTCTATGTAAGACAGACCAAAGGCATACATGAGAGGTGTGATCCTGTGTGTGCCAGGACACCAGTTTGGATGGAACATATGAGTTGTCTAAGAGAGGGATATGTAATAACACTAGCAGGTAGGTTGGGACAAAGTTGTGAAGGATTTTAAATGCCAAAAAGGAGGTAGAAATATACTACTGCTCATCAGCTTCTTTGTGTTGTAATTACCGCTATAGATTTTATTTCCCCATATGTTGTAATTATTTGTGTTTGTTTATTATTTCAGCATTATTGAGATTATAAACTTCTGGTAGGCAGGCTACTCTCTTTCTTACACTTCCTTATGTCCCCCTCTCCTCCCTCCCAGTCTCTGGTAAATCCAGTTTTTGACTAGAAGAATAAATAAAGAAGGGCCTCCATAGCGCCCCGAAATTAAGTTATTGTGTAAGCTCTCAATCTTCTTCCATCAGTAATGTAAACTGGAGTCCATGCTTGTGACTATGATTTATAACACAAATAATTGCTCTACTATCACATGTAGCAGCTCTTCTCCTGATGAACCCTACTTAAAGGCAGCTAGATTTTGGGTTTGGGGTTATATAATCCCTTTGCAGTACTACACTTGAAGAACAACTAACAGCCATTAATGCTTTGAGTAGAGTAGTGGAGCCTTTATGGAAGGCCTTAGATTAAGATTGTTAGATTATTGCTGTTCTCTGGCGTTTTCCACCTTTCGTATAGTAAAGTGCACCTTCATATACATAAGCCTGTTCAAATTACTATTTGTGCAATGACAGTGACATGCTCACTATGGGGCAACTCCAGATAGAGAACATCAGTGAAGTTCATGTCACGATGATGTCATTGGGCTTTTGCACAATGTAAGGTTAGACTCCTCTAGTTAAATTTTCTTAAGTTTTATGCTTACTGCAAAGTGTGCTAATGCACACTAGCAAGGCAGCATGAGCCTGAGAGCCTGCAGCCTCTATCTTGTCATCATCGTCATTGTGGCTAGCATTTAAATAGCGCCTCCTATGTTCCAGGCACTGTGTTAAGTGCTGTACAATCATCATCTCACGTGGTCCTCACAACAACCCTGGGAGGTAAGTGCTATTATTATCCCCAGTTTACAGTTGGAGAAACTGAGGCAAGCAGAGATGAAGTGACTTGCTTAGGTCACACAGCTAGTCTGGGGCCAGATTTGAATTCAGGTCTGTCTAATTCCAGGCCCAGTACTCCATTGTCTGTGGCACTGAGCAGCCTCATCATAACAATCCGTGTCATAAATGTGTCCAGTGATATGACACGAGGGAGTTCTTTAAGCAAATGCCACTGCAGGAAGCTCTTAATGATCATGAGGGAGCCACGTGCAGGCTTTACTATAGCTCAAGCAGCCCTGTTGAGATGGATCGACGTGCTTTGTGTCTTTAGGACTGTACTCGTGTCTCATTGAAGAGGGTATAATTGAAGTCTTTGACTCCGCCATACTTGGACTGAGCCATAGTGGAAAGATAGCTGAAGAAAGAATCAGGGGACTAATAGTCCAGAATCAGTCACTAATTAACTGTAAGAGTGTTGGCATGTAACTACTTTCATGTGCCATGGTTTCCAATCTTTCTAATGGAAGTAATACAGACCATGCCCTGTTACAGGGCTGGTCTGTTACATACAAAAACACTTTGAAAACCACAAAGTGACATAAAAATGGATAAAAGTATTATTATTATTATTATTACTACTACAACTATAAAATCAGTAGTAACTAAAAAAAGAATCAGGGATGTGTTTAAACCAGAGCAGGGGGTTGGGGGGAAAATCCCATGTAGTTGTTGTAAATTTTGTTGACAAATTATATTTTACTATATTGGTAGTTTTGCTAATTACAGTAAATAAGAGATATATTATAAAGCACCCACTCAAGAGAAATGTGATAATATGAAAGCAGAGTATTAAGTTGCAGTTTCTTTTGTCCTTGTGTAGTTTGAAGATTAAAGTATTTCAGCTGCAAGTATTACTGAATGATAATTGTGTTTTGAAAGTGAAGGTTCCAATATAACTTTGCACAATAATACTAAAGTTGTTAACTAATATATTTTTAATCAATGCCTGTCATTGTTTTAGCGTTAGAACATTAATTTATCGTGGTAATTAAAAAAGGCAAGATAAAAAGCTAAGGTAGTTCAGTATATAGAAACTGGCTTTTAATAGTTGGCAGGCCAGCACTGTTATTAAATAGTATTATAGTATTTAAGGTGTGAAATGAATATTTTCTGCTCAGTAGGCAATAGCTTCTCTAATATAATGAGCTTAGTTGTAAATTTGACACTTGGGTTAAATGTGGAAAAATTCACAGAAGCACAGCTCTGGGTTTTATTTTCCTATCAAAGTTAACAGATAAATTGATACAAAACTACACTGTGATGACAATAGGAGGTTTTTTGTGAAATCTGGTCTTGAAAATGGAAATTATTTTGCTATAATCATGATTCTCTTAAGCTTTACATAAAGTTATTAGTTCACATTAAACTAGTAAACTAGTATATTTATCTAAACTAATTAGAAAATTTATATTGATAGTAGTTTGAGATAATGTTCAGAAAGTTCAGTTCTCTAACTGCCTTCCACTTTCTTTTCTGGTATTCAGGTAGGGGCTAAAATCCCATCTCCTCCTTGGAATTTATTTACCTCAGCTAATTGGAAAACAGTCCAATAAGTGGTTAAGTCAAGCCATCTTCGTCCTATCAAAGCACACAAGTTCTGTGGCTTCCTCTTTGCTTACCACTTCACAAAATACACTTAAACTTTTGCATATATCCAGTGCTAAGCCTTAATATATATTTATTGGTCTCTGTGTTTATTGGTATTTTTTTATTCATTCATTCATTTGTTCATTCGTTTTCCATGCATGTGTTTTCATGAATCCACAGAATTCATATGAGGAAACCCTCTTTGCCAGTGCAGATTCACACCTATTCTGTAACTCACTCACTGTCCTAGATGTCGTGTGGAGCACCCACGTTAAATGACTGGCTCAGGGTCAGACCTACAGCATGTGGCAGAATCTGGACTTTCATTCAGGTTTGCTGACTCTGAGGTTGGCATTCTATCCCTGCACCACATCGCCTTTCATTTATAAATCTATTCATATTAATGTTACCGTACATTAGTGTACACTGATGTTATAAAACCAGAAGACATAGCTCATGTCTTTTTAATAGCACCTGCTTATTATAATGTATATTATTAAATTGTGAGTACCAAGAATCCTTTCCATTTTACTAATATAAACTACTTCTGAATGGAAAAGTGAGAAGGCAAATTGTGGTAATTATGATAATAGCTAACGTTTTTATAGTGCCTAGTATGTGTTAAGTGCATTACAATTATTATCTCAAAATGATCCTGAGAACAACCCTAGGAGGTAGGTGCTATTATTACCCCCATTTTACAGATGAAGAAACTGAGAGAGAGGTGAAGTAACTTGCCCAGGATCACATAGGTAGTAAGTGTTTGAGGCTTTGAACTCGGACCTTCTTGACTCCAAACCCCTCTGCTCCAGCCACTGTATCACCTAGCAAAGTAAACTTCTGGTATGAAACTCTCAATCTCTAAAATATTATATGTGTGAACTTAAGAAAATTTAAGTACATACTTAAGAAAAGTGTATTTGGTTGTGTTCCAGTCAGTTTTTAGGTGCAGTTTTGGGCTTCCAGTAAGATTAGTTTGGAGATGTGTGTTTATATGAATAGCTATAAGTCTGAAAAACAATGAGAAAAGCATTAAAAAGTTGACTGATCCTATTGATATGATACTTGGGTTTTTAGACTAATATGTTTGCCCTCAAATGCCATTATAAACTAGGTGATTTAATTTGGATACAGTTGTTTTAAAACCTGCACATCAGATAGAGTACAATTTCCTCTAACTCATAAAGGTAATGCTTGATTTCTAAGCGAAATGCGGATAAATAGAACAGATTATTGGAGGTTGTTACTGAAATCTAATCGTAATTCTTCTAACTCTGTTGCAAATTAGGTGTTTTGCAATTAAAAAGAAGAAAAAAAAAGTTAGAAATCCAAAAGTCATAAAATGTATTAGTTTTCTGAAATATG